TCGTGGGAGCAGCGGGCCGTAGGCCCGCAGATCGTCAGTGCCCAAAAGTAACGAATTCTGACCTATGTCTTGAAACAAGGCCTGTAGCTATCACAGAGTGGGAGCTGACAACACCCTCCCCAGAGAGAGTGGCAGAGGGTCCGACTTCCATGTAAGCACCCAGCGCATTCTCATCACTCTGCCACGGGAATCTCAGTCATGGCGCGGACGGCTTTCTCCTTGATCCACTGATTGATCTTCGAAGTTTTGGGCGCATCAAACTGCTTCTTCTCATCGGAGATGGGCGTACTTCACTTCGCTCTTGCGCAGTCATTGACCACCCATGAAGCAGCATCTCTGTTAAAACTTCTTCCATTGGGTAGCTTCAGGAAGCTTGATCTCGAACTTGCACGCCATTAGTTCATCTTTGGAGACTCTCGTCCTTCAAGAAACATGGCTTCCTTTGGAAGTGGAACTTCTTCTTGTGTACGCTCTTGTTGTATCACGTGGAGAGGCCTGTCATGTTACTCATGTTGTTGTCTTGCCTTTTTCTTGAACGCGGCATTGTTCTGAAGCTCCCAAGCTGCATCTTCTGACCACTGAGCGTCTCATGGCCTGTTGAAATCTGTCCTGGAGTGCTCCGGAATCTGACTTGTGGTAGATGACGTCGGTTGCTCTCCTGTTCGTCCTGGAGTTCTCGGAATCTGACTTGTGGTAGATGACGTTGGTTGCTCTCCTGTTCGTCCTGGAGTTCTTGAGATCTGAATTTGTGGTAGATGACGTTGTTCTCGTAAGTCTCCTCGTGCAAGTGTCCTGGAGCGGTGGCTCCGCCTCGACACTTTCACTTCTGAGTCCTCTGGGAACACATAGTCATCGAAGATCTCAAAGTTTTTTATCCAGACCACGAAGAAGAGAGTGGAACGTCGATCCCGGGGTAACCTTGTCAGTCGCTTCTTCAGCCAGGATTGCCTCTCGTTCTGAGGCGTGTCTTAGCTGATCAGGGGCACATCTCTTCAATCTTCCGGCGGAAGATATCCATACCACTTTCATTGGCCTGCGTTCCAAACCATAGCAGTCCGACCGAGTCCATACCAGCGTCCTCCATTGATCTTGGGTGCTCCAAGCGCTGGATGAGCAGGATTGTCAGCGGGTGGTTTGACTCTTCTGTAGTACACGAGGTCACCTGGTAAGTACTGTCGGCTCGGCCTTGTCTTCATATTCATCAAACGAGACATTTGATGATCTGCTTGCGATTTGCGATACACTGAAGCGGCAGCTTCTCGGATGTTGAGATTCTCACCGAAGGTCGTGTCGTTGTAGATCTTCGCCTGGATACACGGAAGTCCATGTTCGCTGTCAAACAACCTGCCATCACTTCCAAAGTCCCTTCCGAAGGCCCATTGAGCTGGGGAGAAGCCTTTCGTGCGGTGCACTGTGTTATGTGCAGCCACAACATTCAGGATGGCTCTGAAGGGATCGATGTTCTCGCCAGCCAACAAGGTGATCGCATCTTTCTTCACCTTGCCAATTAGAGATTCCACCAGGCCTGTCTGTTGGTGGGCTTCTCCTGGACAGGGAAGTACTTCAACTCCTCTCTCCGAGGCCCAATCTTCAAGAAACTTGGATCTGAAACACCCTTCAGGGTCCAGGCGAAGAGTGGCTGGTAGGCCGAACGTTTGAACCCAGTGTTGCTCGATGGCAGTCACTGCTTCCTCTGCCGTGGCATTCCTTCCCTCAGCGTTGTTCCTGGTGAACAGGTAAGCGGCCACAATCAGGTGCGTTGCCTCATCCGCAATCATCATGAAGTGGGTCACCTGGTTGCCCACCTTCAATTCAGCATTGTCGACTTGTATAACTTTCCAGGGAGTATCCGCCTGATGAAGAGAAACAGCCGGGGCAGAATCTGCAAGTCGCATCTCCTGACAATCAGAACATTGAAGGTCCAAAGCCATCTTCACAACCTCCTTGTGTATTCCACGGGCTCGAAGCATTCCAGCAAGAGTATGATTCGACGGATGACCCGCCCTTTTGTGCAGCTGATGCACAATCTTCTGGTACTTCTTCTTCTCCTCCGCCGAAAAACTTTCCACAGGAAGGTTGCTCTCCACCGTCAGGGCAACGGCAGTCTGATCAAGCATATCTTTGCCGATATGGCTCCATTGCTCCTTGGCCTTCTTGGGTCCTTGGAAGGTCACATGTTCCCACACTTGTTTCATCTTTGTTGAAGTGGTAAACAAACGGACTCGAGACTCAGAACATCCTTGCGGATCTCGTGGTCCTTCATCGGGAGGTAGGCACAGTCCTGGGAGACAATGAAGTTGTCCTCGTGAGACGAGTTGTTGTAGAAGTGACTTCACTGGGGGATCCTTCCAGGCCAAGGTTTTAGTTTGGCCGTGGATCACCAGCTCCCCTCCTCCGGCGAGATGTTTTTCAACAAACATCATCAGGTTCTTGATGATCCTCTTTCTCCTCTGGCGTTTCCGTTGCTCTTGTGCATCGGTTGGTTGGAGGTTTCCATTCCCATTCTCATCCTGAAAGAAGGGGAGTTCAATCTCCAACCATCGCGCAGAACACGTCGATAGAACTTGCTCTGCAAAGCTGGAGCCTTTCTTGGAGTTGAGATCACATTCACGAGTTGTGAGAGCCCTGCTCTTACCTTCATTCCCCGCAATCCACTCGCTCAAGTAACTTGGCTTCTGGCCTCCCAGGCAAAGCAGGTCAAGGTCGTACTTCTTCACCTGGGGAAGGGAGGTGGCCTGTTCACGCAGTTCTTCTTGAGCGGCTATAAGGATCTCCTCCAAGTTCTCCTTGACATCTATCGGAGTCGTTCGCTCCACCGTAAGCATGCCCTCTTCATCTTCCTCAGCCAGGATGCACCCGCATGGACATGCACTCGTAAAGCACTGTACTTCGCTCTTCAAAGGACATGGGAACCGCAATCGTCGAAGCATCCTCCGGTCCTTTGGATCACATTCCGGTAGGCCTCGGCTTGTCCATGCAGTGATGAGGATTCGGTTGCCCGTCCAGGGCTCGGTGGCATGATTCACCTTTGGAGGGAAGTAGACGGGGGTGCCTTTCGATTCATGAATCACCCCTGGTCGAAGGACTCCATTTCCATCTGGACGCCAGTGAACTGCTCTCCCACCGGGGTCCCACTCTGGTCCAGTCTCCTGCCACAAACCTCCACCTGAGTAGTTTCCCAGACCATACAAAGCGTTCCAACCGACATTGTGGTTGTCCTTGTGCATCGGGAGGAGGTTGTTGTTGGAGATTACCAGGCTGGTCCATCGGTGGTCGGGCATACGCCTGAGGAGGAAGTTGTTGAGGTACTGCACAGCCTTACTGAGACGGTGAGTGCGGTTAGTCACGCCGTGGTGGTTGCCGAACGCGTAGAGGCCGAAACACAGGTACTC